TATAGTATATATATATATATACACACACACACACACACACACATATATATATATATAATATATATATATATATATATATATAGATATATATATGAACAACCATACCTCGAATAAGAACGTAGCCACCGCACATAGAGCGTCCACACTATCTGGATACCTATGCGAAAGTGCCTGGAAGAGCTGGGCCGCCTGTTTGGCATCCCCCACCCCTCGCCATACGAACTCGCCGGCCGAGATCATACCAGATACGCCTCCTCCTTTCTTCAGTAGCGCGTTGTACAGCTCTGAGGCGGCGTATATGTCATTGTCTTCAATCCACGCCTGTTGAAGTGTACTTGTAGTGTGAGTGTGTTTGTCTGGAGAGCGTGAAAGCGTTTGTGTGCAGACAGTAAAAGCGTTTGTGTGCGGGTGATGTATCTATATCGGTTTTTGTCGGACTGGGGACTGGTTTCGGGTGGGTAACTAGGACAGCGAGAATGTACAGGTGCAAATCGTTGCGTCCCTTTGTGTGGGGGCATACGCGTGTGTTGGTCGTAGTGGTCGGCCTGTCTTAGCATATGTGAGTGGAAGTGTGCATGTGTATCTGAGCAGCCGTGTGTATGTTTAAGTGACCCTTTCATTTGTGCACCGTTCAGTGTCCCCGACTCGCACATTGCTCCCCCAGAGTAGCGTATATTGCATGCATATACATGGATACATCAACTTGGTTGACATGGGCTACACATACACAAGACATGCAGGTCGGCTGTAAGGGCGCTCTTGAAGTTTGTTGTTCACTTTAAACAAAGGTGATGATTTGAGTTATACACCGCCGAATATCCCTTGTTCCCGAAGTACACACAACCAGACGAATCTAAAATGCGCTGAGCCAATTTAGGTATGCAAGCATATAAGAGAATATGGTTCATACTTCGTAGGCAATTATATATACATTATTTAGAGCCCTAAAGTGCGAGTCTGTCTATATTTGGCCATACCATCTGCCTACATATGCCACTGTATAGCAGAAACGGGTAGTATATTAACGGGGCAATGCGCACAGTCTGTTGACCATAACTCCCTCAAGAGATTTGAGAAATTCTATCATGTACGATTGCACACAAGCGTAGCCATACACGAACACGCCGACAGAAACTTGAAAAGTTACAGATACAGACACATATGCAATATAGACCCAACTTTGCCCAACTACACCATTCTTGACACAGGTGAACACGCCGATAGAAACTGCACAAAGTGACAAATACAGACACATACATGATATAGACCCAACTTTAACCAAACCTTACCATTCGTGCCAGAGGTTCTAAGCCGGCAATAGCGTGGTGTCTCGTGGTAGCCTCAAAGTAACGCTTTGCCTCCTCCATACTGAACATAGATAAGCCAGAATCTTAGAACTTATACATCGATTAAACTAGCGAGATATATATATTTGTTTAGTGTGTGATACCTGTGAAAGTCAGTACGGAGGTCGCGAGTGGAGGGCTGGATTTGAATATCAGCGTACGCGAGGTACCTATGTTGGATCGTCACGCGCAGATATAAGTACGTTACATACATCGCGCGAATGAAAATATACCCAAGCACCCCACCATACCAATATACAACCGTTGGTACGTAGATACGTACATAAATTTCTCTATACACGGAATGAGTATGCATTTCGAACGATGAATGATTCCAATGACGCAGGCATGCCAGTGACACGTAATGTTCGGTCAGCAAACAGAGCATAGCTACGCACACCACACCCACCATGCATGTACATTCCACCCCACTAACAAATAAATACAAAACGCGTGCATTACATCGCCACAACCACCCACTATATATGATATACATACATACATATACACACACAGACACACATCCATCCATATATACATACATACATACAGACATACATACACACATTTCAGTAAACAGACTACAAAGACTTCAGTACAAAATTGAAGACTTCAGGGAACAGATAGAACCCACCGGCCCTGTTTCTGCAGTAGTTTGCCCAGCCTCAGAAGAGCCCTGACTGAATTTGGCATCTCCACCAGAGCCAGGCGCAGGTATTTCTCGGCGGCCTGGAGTTCGCCATTGTCATCTTTTACGACACCCTGTGGCCCACGTCGAACAAAAGAAATGCGCATGAATGACAGTGGCGACTTGAAAGAGATGAGAGTGTTTTGGAGCGGAAGCTGAACAGGGTTCAAATATGTATTGCACATGAATTTTCATCGATAGTTAACTTTATTGGGAGGTATATATAAGTAATTTTTAGATATGCGTGAATTGTGTTGACATGTGAAGGACGAAGATGAATGGGTGATAGTTGCAGCGTAATTGATATGAACGAGAAATAAGAACAATAATTGATGTGAGATATATATATATATAAATATATATATTTATGTATGTTTACCAGTAAATACATACATAGATACATAGATACATTGATACATACATATATACATATATACATACATACGTACACATACACATAAATAAATACACACACATATACACACACATACACCAACATACATACATACATACATATGTACATATATACGTATGTGAATACATACATACATGGATACATACATAGATACATACATGTATACATACATACAAACATACACGCATACATCCATATATACATATATATACATACATGCATACACTACTACATACACACATACATACATACATAAAA